TGTCACTGACTTTGGCTCACTATCCGACTAAAATCTATCTTCAAGGTAAATGATAAAGTTAAAAATGACTGTAATATGACTTTGGGTGGCAAGAAAGTGGTTGTAAATCGTCTTAAGACAGCCAGTGGTTAAGTTAAATTCTGGTAAACGTGCCTTACAGTTAACATTTAAGACTCATACAGGCTAATTTTTTTTTTGAAGAAGAAGAACTGGTAACATGTTGCCAAAGCTTTGTTTTGAATGCATAACTGAGTAGACTGAGAAAATTCAAAAAAGTTCACCCTTAATATGGAGGGTATGGGTAGGCAAACAGTCAGTACGAACTATGCAGTAAGAAAGAGTTGATTTATTGTTTAAGTCTAACTAAAGCTGGAGTTTTAAAATGCATAAACATGGATTCTGTATTTGGGGTTGGGAGTTGATTTACTCTAGCTTGTAAACCCCTCAATCAGACACAATTTGGCTTAGGAGTTCTGTGCTCGACAGTTCCTGCATCAGGCTTTGACCCATAAATTAAAGAGCATTAATGCTTAACAGAGGTCACTTTGTGGTCTGCCTTCAGTTATCACCATAAGGAAAGAGTGCATCACATTCTCACCAAAAGTAAAGCGTATGTTAAGAGTCGATGAACAGAGCTGTAAGGTTGTTCCATGTTTTCATCTTTCGATACTCAAGTAGTTTGCTGCTTGCTGACTTGTTAGTAAGGTTAACCAGAAGAAGGTCCGTTAGTAACCAGCTGAAAGGCAGCATTTCACCACCAAGCGAAGTCTAGCAGAGTCGGAAATATTTCCATCAATCCATCAATTCTTCCCTGGGACTTGAATACTGGGACAAGGACAGTTAGTCCAATTGAATGGCATAATCATGCATGAACACGTACTGACTGTGCTGTGTCATGAGCCCATTCCACATTGTCATTCTCCTGCAGTATCATAGCTCCAGGGCCAGGCTTGCAACCAGTAAATATTGTTAAACTAATCTAAGCACATCCTGACTCCAGCTCCATAACACACAGTCATGATGATTAATGTTGATCTTAACTAGAGATGCACCAATACCACTTTTTTTGCAAACCAAGTATAAGTACAAGTACTTACATTTGGGTACTCGCCGATACCGAGAACTGTTACGAGTACTTAATGCCCTGATCCGTATCTGTTTCTTTGGTCAAAAGTTCTGAAGCACAGTCACAGCAGGAATTACATCTGATGCTAAAGCATTGGACGAGCTCACTTTTCGGGTTAACTCCTCAAACGGAGCCAAAACAGACAACTTTTTTTCCAGAAGTGTCCACTGGTGCGCTGTAAGATTGTCGGGGAGTTCATATTCGGAGCCAAATATTCCCAGAACCCGCTTCTGCTCGGTGAGAGACTGTAGCATGTAGTACGTGCTATTCCAGCGCATCTGCACGTCTTGTTGGAGTCTTCTTACGGGCTGGTTGAGCTGCAGCTAAATGTCTTCCAGGCGGGAGTAGGCTAACGCCGAATGCTTAAAATGTCCAACAATTTTACGTCCGACTGACACCGCGTCAGCTACACTCCTCTGAGCCAAAAGTCCTTCATTAACAGCTAGCTGTAGCGTGTGAGCCACGCACGGAAGGCCGGGGAGTGCAAAGTTTGCAGTCTGCTCTTCTTTTGTCGTCATTGTTTACGCTGAAATATCTCCACACCGCTGACATCTTGCTTCTCTCCGCCTACCCGCTCAACTGAAAAGAGGCGCACGCCCGCCGTAAAGTGGTATCGGTGCAGTTGTGTCCGCATAGCTTTACGAGTATGAGTACTTAAAGGCGGCATCGGACCAATGCCAAATACTGGTATCGGTATCGGGTCATCCCTAATTTTAACAGCTCACTCTGGTAAAGAAACAAATGCCTTTTAATTAAGCTGAATTCTATGCAGGAATTGACAGGTAGACAAAGAGAAGCAAAAAAACAAATGCGTATAGAAAGTGAGTTGGACAGTTGTCACTGGTGAATAACATGAAACCCAAGAAGAGTACAATACGTCATCAGCTCTTTCTTTGAAAGCATTGTTTCCTGTTGTGTTGACATCACCTACAAGCCAGACGAACGGAGCGAACCTGCTCTACACCTGCATTCACACACTCAACGCATTGTGCTGTTGTCCTTTGTTTAATTATTATTTCCCAAGGACAGAGAGATTTCCCGTTGTTGCTCAATCAGGCAGATTGTCATCCCACAAAGATGAATAGTGAGCATTGTGCCTCTTTGCTATGAAGCGATCAGTGCCAGAAGTTTGACACCTCCCTGTGAAATGTTGTTTACATAAGAGCTTGGTTTTGATCCGAATGCTCATTCCAGAAGTATGCCATCTCTTTCATCTGACAAAATAACATGCATTGCCTCTGTGTACACAGCCTCGTTTCTTTGCCCTTTCATCTCTGATGGTTCACTCATGGGTTTGTTAACTCAGGGATGTCTGTCAAGGGTGTTTGGCAGCGGTGTTAGAATAACAATGGCAGATACGCCAGGTACTCCAGCAGAGAAAAGCTTTATTGTAAGGCCTAGATCCTGAAAGGAGATAGCAGATATCAAGGCAGCGGTATAAACAAATATATTCTGGGTTTGATTGCCCATTAAGTGTTATTGTGATACACTGTACTTGATGAAAGTCAACCCACTTAGATTAGAATCTTCTTTTGCTTTGAGTTTGAGTATTGCATCTAAGGAACAAATAAAATGCTTCTTAGAATAAGATCCATCAGAAGTGACTTGTGTGTATCCATGTATTTATGATTAATAGCATGCATCTGTGTCTTTAACATTACATTTTGCTGTAGTTACATGTTTTTAGCTTGTTTGGATGCTATTGGGTGGGTGAGTGTGCTGCTTACTCCAAACCTCTCACACCCCAAGATTTGTTTCTGTAAGGGTGTGTGTGTGAATACATGTGTGTACCTGTGTGGACATGTGTCTGTGTGGATGTATGTGTGTAATGGCTGGGAGTTGGTATGTGGGGCCATTATTGTGTGTGTGTGTGTGTGTGTGTGTGTGTGTGTGTGTGTGTCTGTTGTTATTGTTACTGTTTCTCTGGAGTCCACTAAATGTACCCTATCTGCACGTCTCACACACACACACACACACACACACACACACACTGGCCTTACTTGAGTTTGGGGCGCATGCCTGTGGCCTGTGCTAGTTTGTGGTTGTAGTAATGATGACAAGCTCTCTCTCTGTCTCTCACAAACACACACACACACACACACACACACACTCTCACAGATTCCAGGACCCCCACAAACATGACTTGGCTGCGCCTGCATGGTATATTGTACTGCTGACAATGCTCCCATTACTCTTAATGACTCTGAAGAATGGACACTAAATTGTTTAAATGGAGGGTGTCTCTTGCCTGCATACCACTGCATGTCCCGTAAACCTAATCCTTAACCTTGGTCAAATGAGCTGAACATTTAAAAATAATCTAAGAGAAGCCAAGTAAAAGAATGTATGAGCAAATTCTTGTAAGTATAATTGGCACAAAAATGTGCTATTTAAAGTGCAATACTTACGCAGGCCAATTGCCCAATAATATTACATTTCCATATATTCTACTATTGTGTTATTCTTTCTGATACATGCAACTCGTGACCATGGTAAATACTTTCAGGTAGTTTAACATGCCATAATACCACGTATTGTGTTTTATAGACTGAAGAATCTAGTAACAGAAGCTGTAAAGTAAATGAAGGGGAAGAACAAATATGATGTATTAAGTAGCATGCAGTTCAAGTTTCATGTTCCTGATAATTATCAGAGTACAAAAATTAGTACATGACGCCAGATACTTTTTTACTTTTTTTTTTTTCTTTTTTTACCATTGATCTACAGAGCAAACCTCACCTTGTTTTCAGACAAACTTCAAATTAAAGTCTGTACATGTAAACAGATGATGAGGTTATCTGGCTCGGCCACATATCAAGCGGATCTTTTACTCCTTTTGATCTGACACGAGAATCAAGCCGAAAGTACAGTAATTTCCCCACCATCTTCTAATCTAAACAGGTCTAATTACAGGCACCAAGGTGCATTTGGGTGGATTCATCGTCTATCCATTGGAGGACGTCCATTGCACAACAGCCGGGAAATGGGGTGTGCTGCTTGAGAACCTACATCCTTTTTTTCTTACATTTGTTTTGAGTTGCATCACAAAAAAAGTGCTGCGGTGCACCTCATTTCAAGAATCCTTGTGTACATTGAGTAAGATGAAGTAATTAGAGGCTTTAGTTTGGATAGCTAGCTATCTGCTCTGCTGCACATGAAGGCAGGGAAGGTATAATTATAAACTAGCCAGCAACACCAAAGGGTTAGCTGGCAAACACTCGCCAGTACACACATACTTTGTCATTACCTCTCTGCAGTTATCATTTGATATTGCAGTATCCTGTCCTGTTTTTGTTCTATTTTCCGTGTGATTAAATATCCCTGATGGACCATGCTCTGCCTTCATGGTAGGATTTGGCTTGTTGAGGCTCTGGTAATGACTCATTAACCTTGTATGTTTGTCGTAAGTATGCTTTCTGTGAGTGTTGGTCTGCACATATTTCAATAATCGTGTGTAAAGAGTTTCAAAATCAAATCTTGGCCAAACAATTTAAACCATCCACTCAGCCCTCAACCACTGAGTTTTGAAGCCTAGGCTCGGAGTTAAACAGCACTGAGTGATTGTTCAAATAACTCTTGCTTTCCAGGAGTGGATGGTTGTTATTTAGCCAGAAATGTTCCCACATGCACCAGCCGATGAGTGAATATTTGGACAAAATGGATTGAAAAACTTTCCAAAAGACATTTCTTTTTGGGCAAAAAGTTAGGAGCAGAAAGAAGAAGTGAGGTTATCACATGATGTTTAATAAAAACAAATATATACAGATTTTCTATATATAACATTTTCTTATAAAACAATATTTATAACACATTTACATTGCATGCAGCACCATGTCTTTATAATACTGGTGTTGACAGAATTTAATAGCTCAATTAAGTGCCACCTCTAGGATAATATTTACAATACAGTAATTTACTGCAATAACTGAGGCTTCAAGTTTCATAAAAAGAGAAACAAAACAGCTCTGCCATTACCAACGACATGAATCGATCTTCCCATGACTTCTGAAATGGCACTGCCTAACACTTCCGACTCCTCATCTGTTGAGGGGGAATTGGATCAGTCCGTCTTGCTCTGTTGCATCCCTCTGGGCGTATCACTTTTCCAGGAATCATGTCTATCCTTCCGGGTGCTGTTTTTGTCAGCAACTTTGGCAGGAAAGAATGTCTTAGGTGTTTGGTGTCTGTGTGTGTGTGTGTGTCAGCATCTCGGGTGTATGCAAGGCAGAAAAAGTGTTTGTCAGTGTCTATGACTGATTTATGGGTTTTGCTGGGTGTGTGTGTGTCTCTCTCTCTCGAGAGTGTATATTTCTGTCTCTGTGTGTCCATGCGTTTGTGTCAGCGTCTCTGACAGGTGTGTAGGTTCCGGGCTGCAGTCCTGCTGACACTGTGGTCTCGCTCCCCTTTCTCCTGTCGGCAGGTCATGCCGTCGCCGCAGTCGCAGCGCTGGAACAGCTCCAAACCGTGGTTGCCTTTCCTGCGGTGGCGCGTGCACACCTGGCCCTCCGTCAGCACGGGCTTACAGATGCGAGACCAGAAGTGTCGGGCGCAGCACAGACCTTCAGAGCAGTCTGCAGACCTCAGACATGTCTCACCCTCCTGACCTGGAGTGGGAAGAGGAGAAGTGAATATGTTAATATATTACACAGAGCTCACTGATATCTTCTTTACTTGACCGTTACTTGACCCTGATAAAGGTCAGTGGTTTTCAACAGGACACTCACCTTTCACAGCATGAGGCTGATTGCTGTGGGCTGTAGGAGGCCTTTTGGCATGATGCTCCATTGTGTTGTTGTTTTTGTGCCAGCTTGTGATGATGGATGCATCTGTACCAGCTATGTCATTTGCCTGGCAAACACCTATAAAGGTTGAAAGATATAGTTTAGAGTCTGTATTCATATTTGATACATAGTAGCAGCATGTTAATTCACGTGTCTTCTGAGCAACTTAAAATAAGTTGATATCAGTTATTACTAAGACAAGACGATTACTAATCCAACAAGTCAAAATATCAGTATTAGTTGAGGTCTGATGTCTCTGCTCACCATTGCTGCAGCGGTTTCCTGCACAACACATTGAGTCCCGTGCGCAACGCTTCCGGCTCTTACGGCACGGCAGACAGACGCCTCGGGCGTCATTGCAGAATTCATCACCTCCGCAGTCTTCATCATCCGTGCAAACACCGGATTGCTGTGTTCAGACGAAAACGGAAAGCACCACGTCATTTAAGCACATAGATACCACTCACAAAACTTCCACAAACGCAACTGTTGCCGTGGCGCACACGGGTTACTTTTACGCACGGTCTTTACCTGCAAGGTGTCCACGGGGGGTTTGTGTGCCAAGCTGCTGGACGGAGAGGTGCGCGGACTCGGACTGACAGTGTCGGCTCCTTTACTTCCCGCAGCTCCGGGCAAGTTTTTGATGGCGTTGGAGTTCAGCACGACTGTCCCCGCGTAAACGTCCCCAAGGTATCCAAACAGCGTGAGATACACAGCCAAGAAGCGATGCGCGGATGGAATCTGCATGATTTTCTCCTTATAATTATGCTGTGCTGCGAAGAGAAGCGGGGAAAAGAATCCTGGATGACAAAATGATTGAGTAGCAAAGTCCAAAGCGGCCTTGAATCCTTGAATCCAAAAGTTTCCGGAGAGTTTAAGCACGATGCTTTCGAAGACTCCTGCCTCTGAGTCCTGGGATGATCTCTTTATACATGTGGACCTGTTTGTCTTCCCGCCCCTCGCTGTGCACAACAAAGGCGGAGGGGTGGAATTTCAAAGAGAGCCCCACTGTACGGAAATGGCCATCTATTCTCCGTGCACAGAGAAAAAGACTGCATTTCACAATGTTTGTGTAATGATAAAGTCCTGCAAGGTCTGTCTGAATGCCCATCACCCAGTGACGTATCCTAGAAGTAAAGTATATCCACGGCCAATGACTGTCTCATTCTTGTCACATTCTTGAAATCACTTTGATGATGACAGAGATTGACTACTTCATTTGTTTTGCTTTAATGCATTATATTTTGCTTATTTTATCAGCCTGCTTACTAAATGTCTTTTTTTAATACAAAGACTGGAGTGATACAAATGTAATAGTTTCACCACATCGATAAAATCCTTTATGTTTTGCTTTTAATGATGTTGTTTTCCATTTAATATCATAATTCTCTCACTTGTTAAACAGTCTTTTCTCTATATTTTGTTCTAATCACTTATTTAAATGATGGTAATTATACTTCGCTTTCACAAAAAATAATGCTTTTAGTCTTTTATTAATTGATTTGACACATAATTAAAGTTATTAATCCAAGAGAAGAGATGTGTATGCAACAAAATGCTGTTCAACATTAATCTAGGCTTTTATCTTCATGATTCCCACTCGTATGTGTAAATTCGGCTAAATGAACTAGAACGTATTTGATACAGAGCATTGCGGCACATTTTATCTGTTAAATCGCTTCACTTTATAACTGTGACAAACCCCTCGCCAGTGTTCTTCACAGTGTGAGACTTCAGTGTGTGTCTTTCTTTAAAAGCTCCGTTAGCCTCCTTTACAAAAAGCTGTTTGGTTATTCCACCCTTCTTTGACATTCAAGTAGCCTAACTGCCCTTTGGCTGTGTGAAGACAGTGATTGAAGTCACTTGCGTCGATTAACTACTTCATTTGATCCTTCTGATTGCAAAGGGGGCAATTATCCTCCAAAGTGTGCTTGATTACACCAGAGGCGGACATCAATGTGTAGGATATGCAGACCATTAAGGGGTGTGAAAAGTTTACCGAATTAATGGACTTCCGCGGTGAGGCCTTTCAGGGTTGACTGGCACTTTGAGATTAAAGGCAGCTCTGATCTGTCCTGCTCCTCTCCGACCCTTTGGGCTCAACCCACTGCAAGAAATGCCCAACCTGAGACCAAAAAAAAAGAATATCCTAAACTATTCAAATAAAGTCCCTAAAAGTTTGACAGCAGCCTGGCAAGGTGGTGTAACCAAAATGGTTAAAGTTCTTAAATGAAGTCTTTTTTTTTTTATCAGATATGGTGCAGTCAAGTTGTTCGGTCTTTTAGCTACTGAATTTTTTTTTAAAAAGAAAGAAGATAAAACTGCATGTCGTCTGGAATATTTTTTTGTGGGTGTGGGGGGGGGGGACTTACAGGTGCTTTTGTGTGTATTTTTACTCTGAAAATATTTTGGTACTTGGACGTCATCTGCTGGTCACGTTGCTTGTGTTTGGAGTGATAGGTTGTGTGTGTGTGTGTGTGTGTGTGTGTGTGTGTGTGTGTGCGCGTCCACGAGTGTCTTCTGTTTGTGTGTGCGAGAGACAGAGATGCGCCATAGACACCTGACAAACACACTGTAGCACATGGCGCGTTTGAATTGCTGTATATCTTTTGAAGTGGAGCTTTTATCTCCACTTTACTAAATGTCAGTGCTGGTAAGGTGAGCTCCTTTGATGCACTTTGATCCCCTTTGATCTCACCGAGTTGTCACCCTGTTGTTATGGCTGAAGCCGTTCCCCTGTCCCCCCAAACAGATTTGTTGTTCGAATAACACTGAGACCAGAGAAGCTGAATCATCTGCACTTACCTGTAAGTGGATGACACGAACACCAGGACTGATTATTAGATCTCAGGCAAACCTGAACATATCGGTTCACTACAGCTGCTTGTGAAGAGAGGGCTGTCTTACCTGCAGCTCCCTCTTGTGGCAGAAATGAGTAATGACAACTCTGTTATGCTTTTAAATCAATCATAGTGTTGTTGCAATTGACAAAGAGACAAACACCACTCAAAAGTATTGTTTTTACTTTATAATTTTTAAAAATCTTACACGTGGCACTCTGCAAAATCAATTTACAGCAGAAAAAACAACATAACACAAGGCAGATATCAGGTAACATTGCAGAAGGCGCTCAATATAAGACTTAAAACCAGTGGTTTGTTAAGTGATGGCATATATAAGGCTTTGTGATCAACATAACCTGCTTGTAATACAGTCAAACACTTATGGTATGCCTACGAAAAGATTTTTCTCTTTTTTTTCATAGTTAATGATTTATGGATATAAATGTAAGCATATCAGTCTGTGTGGGTGAATTATGCATTATTAAAACAATGAAATGATGATGCAATATGATCAATGACATTGTGCCGCCAAAGATTGTCAACAGGAGAAAATAAGGATATTCGTTTTTATGAAGACTGCAAATCATTCCTGCCATCTTTAAAAGCTCAGATTTCACGAGTGGACACATGGCAGCCGTCTGAGCTTTGATGTATTGTTCACTTCATATCTGGCCAGTTGTGGTTGACTTCATGTTAGATGTCCATATCAGGTATATAGAGAAAGAGAATAGCATGTCATTGCAGCCATGTCGGGTTTGATAAAATATTTGTGTCATTTTTTTACTGTGAGATAAATCAAAGGTGGAAGCAGGACTTTCATTTCATACACATTTGTCAGCCATCAAATGACGTAAAAAATCTCTTTTTTCCACGGTGTTTGATGTATTTATTCGATATGACAAAAGGATGAGAAGCAGCCGCCTAGTAGGACGCGTCAGTTTTTGAGGTGTATATGTGTTCATGCAGCATCAAAGAGGACATGTGATGTGAATTTTTGTATGCCATTGATTTAAGGCACTTACATTACTTCTGATTTTATGCTCGGACTTTGGGATGAGAGATGGGACGATCTGGATGAGGTCATTGAGCTAGTGGTCAACCTTGTACGTTTCGCAAAACATCTATAAGCTTTTTTCTCTCTACTCTTTCATTTCACTTTCTTTTCTGAATTTCCATACGATGATTCGAAGTAAAGATATGATAATATGTGGTAAATTTTGCCTCCAAAGAAGAAAGTGAGTTTTTATGGATGAACTTAAAGGTGCACTTTGGAGTTGAGAAATGTGAAAGTTGAAGTACTGTACAGATTCTGTGGTATATGTTCACAACTCTATATCCAAACTGTCCTCAGAGGAAAATTTGGTCTCTAGAAAACTGTTTGAAGTTTAAAAGCTAAACGAGAATTTATGGTGGGAGGTCCCTAACAGTGAACCGTAACTCTCCTGGTAGCTTTTTAGCTCCAAACTGTGTTTATCAACCCATTTTTTCCTTTGAATGAAGTTTGTCTATTTAGTTCAGAAAATATAGCATAGAATTGTTTCACTTCTCCAACTTTCAAATTTCCCCACCGAATCTACATAGCGCACCTTTAACATAGTTTAACCTTTTTTTAAAAAATCAAAAAAAAATCTTGAGAACACCTCTGAGCACAATGCAACATGGTGCCAAGTGAAAGCAAACAAAATTTTCACTCAAATCGACACAAGTCTCCAAATTGTTCTAAAGAAGAAAGTCAAGTACATTACAAAGAAATCGAGCACACAAAAAAAAATCACTATACGAAAACAATAACCAGTACTGTCATCCTGCCATCACTCGTCATAATTTATCAATAACAGCACCAAAGACGTAGAAACCATGTTCACAGTTATGTCAGAAGAAAACAGGGGACGAGGCATTTGGGTGATTTACAAAAACAAGGAAGTATGCAGGTAGAGAAGCAATCATGTGTGATTAAGAGCATTTTGAAGAACAAAAAAAAAAAAAAGACGGTTAAAAGAGCTAGAACTGCTGATTTTCTCAGTTAATGGTCTTAAGTGCATAATGACACATTGCTTCATGGAAATAGTAGCTGACATTTCATGTGTGTCGGTGTGTGATTCATTAAATCTCAGGGCAGGGCACTTAAAAAGAGTCACGTCTCTCTCCTCACTGAATGCACAGTGTTTGTGCTTTTCAAGTTAGTTATACTAAGTGTTTGATGTGAGAGGATTGTTTTTGTAAATCCAAAAAGATGGAGTATACTGTACATGCTGTTTGCAGAACGGATGCTAAATGAGGAGAAAATCTGTGACATTCAGGTTAGTCTTGAGCACTTGATACCAGTTTAACTTGCAAACTGTGATGTGTAAATCTCTGAGGGACTGTCAGAGACCGCAGCAAAGCAGCTGCATGTCAAAAAAAACAATAGAGAGCAACTGCAGTAACATCTTAAAATCCTCCCACAATCCCGAAATAGTTCACCCGAAATATTGCCGAAACAAAGACAGAAAAAATCAACAATCGACCTCCTCTCTTTTTTTGAAGCAGTCCGTCTTGTTTGATTAAAACAAAAAGATAGACTATCGAACGTTCATCCAACCACTAAATCCCTGTTACATGGAAATCTGGCTCCATAATCAGCGTCTGTTGTATTGTGTATGTGTGAGTATCCCTGCACTTTCTTTCCTTTGCCTTTTAGAGCTGAGAAAACACTGAAGAAGTGCTACAGCAGTCCCGTTTTTTTTAAATGCTTGATCCAGAGCCACAGTGAAATAAAGGCATATCGGTGACCCAGAGGGGTTTGCCATCCATCCGTTTAACTTCTTTTCCATATGCTCTCTTTTGTATTTAAGCAGTTTTTTTTTTTTTTTTTTGTTACAACACTGCCTTGTCCACACGCTGGCCTCCAAGCCAACAGAAGAAGATTTTCTCTTTTGGTTTAAGGTGAGAGAGGAGGACGACTTCAAAAGTCAACGTCCCAGCCGGAGTTGTCGTCTGGAGGCGGGTCCTCGTTGTCCTCTGGGAAGTTGTCGAAGTTACTCGTGTCGA